TAAGTTTCTGTTTCTCGTAACAAAGGGACCTTGGTGTCTAACAGAATCAAAAATGTACCTCTTTCCTATGGGCCCTTTGTCTAACAGCGTGTGACTCTTTCTCGGCCTTGGTAAAGCATCTCAACACATGTGAATAGCAACAGGAGACCCACGTGAATTGTCAGTCATTGGGTGAAAAAACAATGACATCACAATTCATTACTTACATGTGATTGGTTGGTAGATATCTCCCTATTGGACACACTAGACCTTTATAATTACAAGCCTGGTTAAGCCCCTCCCTAATAAAATTATTATTTTTTTTAAATAAACCAGAAATAAAAATACACCAAGCACAAGGCATGAGTTTATATTTTTAATTTTTGTTGAAAAATAAATATGTACATACATTCATATAAAACACATCTACAAATAAAGAAAGCACATGTATAAAATAAAAAAACACATCTACAAATAAAGAAACCACATGTATAAAATAAAAACACATCTACTAAAAAAAAACAAAAACATCTTTCAGTTAGAAAAAAAAAAGATTACAGTACAAAATGCTTGTCTACTTCTGGCCCGTGTTGTGGTGGCTTTCTTTCTGAGCATGATCCAACATACAAACGCTTATGACGCAAAATGCTGTATTTAGGGTTAGCTTCAAGTCTCTTACCACGACTTTTGGTGTTTTATCTTACCGTTTGCACACAAAATAAAATATAAATGCTAACAAACAAAACAACTCGCCTCGCTGCACGTGCTCGCTATTCATTAAAGCTTTCTTACCGTGAGTTCGGCCTTGTTGGACCGCCGCGGTGTCATCTGTTGTTTTCTGCCGGAACATTGCTTGATATCAAAACGATACTGAAAAAGTAACTTCGTGAAATAGGACTTTTTCCACCATTTCACACAACGCACGGACATTTTCGTTCATGTTGGGTTTAGCAGTAGCCGGTGCAAATCTTCCTCTGGAGTTTAATGGCGGCTGCTTGACCAACTATGAAAGCGCATTACTGCCACCAACTGGACTGGAGTGTTAAATGAAAGTTGACAGAAAAAATACATTCTAAAAAGTTATTTTTTCAAAAGTTACGTGACAGTATATTTTATTTTTATTATAATTAATTCCTCAAATGTTTTTAAATGTATAGATGTTTATTTACTCAATTCTTTTTAGTTTATATAGAATATGATTCATAATTTGTGAGTTATATTTAGTGCTTAACTAACAAAACTTTTAAAAAAAAGAATACAAATGTTTATACTCTATCAGAAGGTATCACATACTTTCAACCATTT